TTTGACTAGAAGGGAATTAGTGGGATGTAGATTTACCATTGTCACATAATGCCTGATGAATTTTTAAATTAAAGGAATTCAACTGAATGACAGAAACCTCTTCGTCAATCTAAAGGTCAAAATTAAGAATACCCCCACATACCTGGACATCTATGGTCTGCAAGCCGTTAAAAATACACTTGGGGATGTTAGGAATGAACTCTATGGAATATTTTATTGGTTTGACAGCGTAAGGAAGGCGGGTGAAAATCCCTTTGTCAGACATTGAGATGATGGAACGGAGAGGATGGAGCGTTGAGGAATAGGAGCGATGGAAAAGTGAGCGAATCATATGGCCTGCACCTAATCATTATAACGACATCAAAGTGCAAAGTCTATTAATTCAGCACAATAAGTGTCTTTATAGAGATAAAATAAAATAATTGAAATAATTTGCATACTTGACAATAACTATTTTTGTATTCCAGACCCTGAAGCGCGTCGTAAGAAGATCGCATAGACCACAAAAATTGCATTAATTAAGATAAAAGACCTTTATTTGAAACCCAAATACATTTAGATTTTGAAGAGTATTGACGTAGGCGAAGGATCAGCGAGTACATCTCATTTATGGCGGTCTGGAAACTTCACTTCACTGCGTAAGAGCACAAGGCTTGATTAATCTGTGTCTGGCTTGCGCTATGACATTTCGACTGACTTATGGGTATTATATGCACACAGCTTACATGAATCTAGAACCTTAATATGTATGATCGCAGAATCATAAGTAGGGAAAATTTTAGTCACATCCACTCTATTTACCTGTATCAACTTCACTTAGTTGCAAGCATATAAGATAGCCAAATAAAACATGGAGGGCTGTACTAAAACCGCAAAGTCGGGTATGAGAGACAGAAAATATTTCCTCCAGCAAACCTTCTTTGCTCAGTGTTTTGATGAATCTTTTGTAAACGATGGTTTCTGGCTCTGAAAATTTCGAGCAAATAATGGACGGATAGTTTAGGGAGGTAATAGAGAGAACTGATACTGGTGATATGTATGATGTGAAGACTTTCAATTCTTACGGAAGTACATCATAAAATATTCGTTGTTCAATCTCACCAGAAAACATCAGCTGATTCGAGTTGTGCTGCAGCCTTTTGACCTTAATACGACGTTCATATTGATGCAGTCCACGAGACATCCTCCAACATTTCGGGCGAAGACGGGCTGAACTTTCGTTCGTCCTGTGACGAACATCGTCAGAGCTGGGACTCATTGTAGTAAAAGCCTCATGTTAGCACTAAGTCAAGAAGACTAACCGGTTTTTATCTATATGATATATATCTCATTGCAAGAAAAATGTAGGATAAAGATGGATATAGAAAGGTTTTGTTAATTCTTATTTACTCGAGTCTGTATGTGTGTATGGTAACATCTACGCAAGAGCGGTCGTTACTCAGATTAAATAGCAAAAAGCTTAGCGTCAGCCCGGGGCCATCAAGACTTAATGACCCAAGGAAAAAACGGAAAAGTGATGACTGAGATTGCGTTAGTCCGTACGTAACCCTGTTAAGTTTGATAAGATGTAAGCGTGTACACGTAGAAATCAGGCTACAAAACTACCAGCCCGAACCTGTTAGTCTAAGTCATTAAGGTTTAATGACCAACGGAGAAATTTGGCTTGGATTGCGTAGTCAGGCCCGTCTGTTTTGGCTGATGAGCTTGACATGCCTGTTGAATGAGATTACATTTGGTTAGACTAACAATTTTAATCGTCTCATTTTGAACTTCGGCTCAACATCCTCTCTTTCCTTCAATCGTTCACTCAAGCATAAGTAATTTTTATTCAACTTTCTACCACCATTCCTTACATTCAATGTATTCACTCTCTTATTTTGCTTTCCGTAGTAGACATACCATAATCAACAAACCTCTCCGTACGAGACTATTTTTTCTTATGTCCAGTCACCGTCATGTGTTCCGCCATTTTTAACCGTTCGACCCAGCTGCCTTTAAAAGCAATTTTGTTCTCCGATAATCTTTAGCGAATCGGATGACAGGTCTCACCAACATGAGTTCGAACACAGGAGTACATAGTCTTATAACAGCCGGATCTTGAGAGTTGGTCATATTTCTTTCTAAAAGCGTGTATAACGGAAGAAAGTATCAGAGTTTTATTGAAAACTGTCTTTCTCTTATCCTTCTTCACTAATTTTCCTATATTCTTATAAATAAAACATGACGGCAAGATTAGCGCATGATATAAGGTTTCGGCTTGCCTCTAACCAAATAGTCTCCGCCTGAAAATGTATTTATCATTAAAAATACATTATTATCAATTAAGCCAAAGGGATAATTATTCTCCAGGAATAATCCTTTCAGTCTTCTTAATTTTTCAGTCAGATGAATTTCATCCGCCTGCCCCACCCAATAATCGTAGATTTTAAAATTCCAACCTAAGTTTTCTAACTATGTTTAGAAAGAAAATTAAAAACAAAAGCAGAAAGGATGTTGAGCTGAAGTCCAAAAGGAGACGATTAAACCTTTCAGCCGAGTGATGGTTCTAACCAAATACACGCTCTATCAGCAGGCATGTAAAACTTATCAGCCAAAAGAGACAGGCCTGGCAACGAAATCCTTGATACATTAAACCCTAATAACAAGACTAACGGGTTCGGATTGGTAGTTTCGTAGCCTGATTTTTATGTGTACACGCTTACATCTCATCAAACTTGCCAGGGTTACTTACGAATTAACAAAATCTTAGTCATCATTTTTCCGTTTCTTCCTTGGGTAATTCAGCCTTGATGGACCGGGACTGACGAAAAGCTTTTTTCTATTTACTCTGAGTTACGACCGGTTTTGCGTAGAATTTACCATACAAACAGACACACTCGAGTAAATGGGAATTAACCAAACCTTTCTATATCCATCTTTATCTTACATTTTTCTTGCAATTAGATATATATCATATAGATAAAAACCGGTTAGTCTTATTGACTTATTGCTAACTTGAGACTTTTACTACACTCAGTTTCAGCTCTGACGATGTTCGTTACAGGATGAACAAAAGCTTAGCCCGTCTTCGCCCGAAATGTTGGAGGATGTCTCGTGGACTGCATCAACATGAACGTCGTATTAATGCCAAACGGCTGCAGCACAATTCGAATCAGCTTATGTCTTCTGGTGAGATTGACCCACGAATTTCTCTATGATTTACTTTCATTCCAAATGAAAGTCTTCATATAAGACTAGGTTTTTATCCAGGAATTCCTGATAATCTTAAACACTATTATAAATAACATAGTTATAGATGGTCTTTACCACATTTTCATAACGACCTGTTCACCCTGTTAATTTTTCTTCATCAACTATGGACTAAAATTCTTACGACACTTAGTCCATGTATAAAATCAGTATGTTAATTATTTATTTGTATGTTTTGCTGAGTTATAGTCAATAAATGAATGAACGCAATTCGTGATCCTGATCTCAATACTTTGCATTTGCGTTCTTGTACTTTTCTTATGGAAAAATTTCTTAGGAGGAGCATATGAATAAAACTCTTCTTTAATTATCTTCCTCTGGCTTTTGCTCTACTTCTCACCTGGAAACAACTTTATTACTTCAGTGTTATGTTCATTTATTTTCAATGGTTACCTCTACATCGCTGACTTAGAAGTACCTTTATAACATTAGACTTATGAGCTCTTAAATGCATATTTACTATTTTTATCCTAGATAACCCACTATCCTAGAAAAGCTTGATGTTAAATTATAGCTCTTGACCTTGTTATATTCATTCCATTACTAATAATGTCTAATATCATAAAATCATATAACTTGTTGTATAAAAGTTGTTTGACCTTGTTTTCGCAACTTGGTTATATTGGTAGGAGGACTTATAGAAATGCATCTTCTCCTGAGTCCATTGTATGCAAAATTATTTCCAAAGTCGGACCGTGGGCGTGGTACATTCCCAGATGTTTCGCCGGCATCGTAGTCGGCATCTTCGGTGAGTTTTACCACTCGTAGCGCTATATTACAACTCGTCAAAGAGACGAGTAAAGCCGATCCTTTGACCAAATGTGTGCTTAACAGTTATAGTATCTCCCATTCTGCCCTGGCCTATTCAAATTTCCTATATCCTTCTATCACAAATTCCGTGTTACAATATTTTACTTGCTTAATTAAGTTTGGTCGGTGTGCCCTTTTTTAGCGGCCTTCTCACCACCCTTCATCCTTGTACTGGGAATGTTGATCGGAGTCTGCCATATTGTTATGCAGTCTTCCTTCCATAGGTCTTACCCCAGTCTCTCCCTTGCCCTGTAAGATCC